GTATTTAGTGCTATAAATTTCCCTCTACACACTGCTTTAAATATTCCCAGAGATTCTGATATGTTGCATCTGTGTTCTCAGTGGTTTCAAAGAATATCTTTATTTCTGCCTTCATATTATTATTTACCCAGTAGTCATTCAGTTTGTTCAGTTTCCATGTAGTTATGTGGTTTTGAGTGAGTTTCTTAATCTTGAGTTCTAATTTGATTGCACTGTGGTCTGAGAGCCTGTTCGTTATAATTTCCATTCTTTTGCATTTGCTGAGGAGTGTTTTACTTCCAATTATGTGGTCAATTTTAGAATAAGTGCAATGCAGTGCTGAGAAGAATGTATATTCTGTTGATCTGGGGTGAAGAGTTCTGTAGATGTCTGCTAGGTCTGCTTGTCCAGAGCTGAGTTCAAGTCCTGGATATCCTTGTTAATTTTCTGTCTTGTTGATCTGTCTAATACTGACATTGGGGTGTTAGGTCTCCCACTATTATTGTGTGGGAGTCTGAGTCTCTTTGTAGGTCTTTAAGAACTTGCTTTATGAATCTGAGTGCTCCTGTATTGGGTATAGATATATATTTAGAATAGTTAGCTCCTCCTGTGGCATTGATCCCTTTATCATTATGTAATGCCCTTCTTTGTCTCTTTTGATCTTTGTTGGTTTAAAGCCTGTTTTATCAGAGACTAGGATTGCAACCCTTGCTTTTATTTTTTTTTTAAATTTTATTATTATTATTATTATTATTTGATTTCCATTTGCTTGGTAAATCTCCCTCCATCCCTTTATTTTGAGCCTATGTGTGTCTTTGCATGTGAGATGGGTCTCCTGAACACAACACACCAATGAGTCTTGACTCTTTATCCAATTTGCTAGTCTGTGTCTTTTAATTGGGGCATTTAGCCTGTTTACATTTAAGGTTAATATTGTTATGTGTGAATTTAATCCTGTCATGATGCTAGCTGGTTATTTTGCCCATTAGTTGATGCAGTTTCTTCATAGTGTCAATGGTCTTTACAATTTTGTATATTTTTGCAGTGGATGGTACCAGTTGTTCCTTTCCAACTTTACTGCTTCCTTCAGGAGCTCTTATAAGGCAGGCCTAGTGGTGACAAAATCTCTCAGCATTTGCTTGTCTGTAAAGGATTTTATTTCTCCTTTGCTTATGAAGCTTCGTTTGGCTGGATATGAAATTCTGGGTTCAAAATTCTTTTCTTTAAGAATGTTGAATATTGGCCCCCACTCTCTTCTGGCTTGTAGGGTTTCTGCCGAGAGAGCCGCTATTAGTCGGATAGGCTTCCCTTTGTGAGTAACCTGACCTTTCTCTCTGGCTGTCCTTAACATTTTTTCCTTTATTTCAACCCTGGTGAATCTGATGATTATGTGTCTTAGGGTTGCTCTTCTCAAGGAATATCTTTGTGGTGTTCTCTTCATTTTCTGAATTTGAATTTTGGCCTGCCTTGCTAGGTTGGGGAAGATCTCCTGTACAATATCCAGAAGAGTGTTTTCCAACTTGGTTCCATTTTCTCCATTACTCTCAGGTACACCAATCAAACATAGATTGGGTCTTTTCACATAGTCCCATATTTCTTGGAGGCTTTGTTCATTTCTTTTCACTCTTTTTTCTCTAATCTTGTCTTCTCCCTTTATTTCATTGAGTTGATCTTCAATCTCTGATATACTTTCTTCTGCTTGATTGATTTGGCTATTGATACTTGTGTATGCTTCACGAAGTTCTTGTGCTGTGTTTTTCAGCTCCATCAGGTCATTTATATTCTTCTCTAAGCTGGTTATTCTAGTTAGCAATTTGTCTAACCTTTTTTCCAGGTTCTTAGCTTCCTTGCATTGGGTTAGAACATGCTCCTTTAGCTTGGAGGACTTTGTTATTACCCACCTTCTGATGCCTACTTCTGTCAGTTTGTCAGACACATTCTCTGGTCAGTTTTGTTCTCTTGCTGGTGAGGAGTTGTTATTCTTTGGAGGAGAAGAGGTATTCTGGCTTTTGGAATTTTCAGCCTTTTTGCCCTAGTTTCTCCTTATCTTTGTGGATTTCTCTACCTTTGGTCTTTGATGTTGGTGATGTTGATACTATTCTTTTCTGTTTGTCAGTTTTCCTTCTAACAGTCAGGCCCCTCTGCTGCATGTCTGCTGGAGTTTGCTGGACGTCCACTCCAGACTCTGTTTGCCTGGATATCACCAGCAGAATTTGCCTGGATATCACTAGCAGAGGCTGCAGAACAACAAGGATTGCTGCCTGTTCCTACCTCAGGAAGCTTCATCCCAGAGGGGCACCCGCCAGATGCCAACAGAGCTCTCCTGTATGAGGTGTCTATCGGCCTCTACTGGTAGGTGTCTACCAGTTTGGATACATGGGGGGGTCAGGGACTCACTTGAGGAGACAGTCTGTCCCTTATCAGAGCTTGAACACTGTGCTGGGAGAACTGCTGCTCTCTTCAGAGCTGTCAGTCAGGGACATTTAAGTCTGCTGAAGCTGCATCCACAGCTGCCCCTTCCCCCAAGTGCTCTGTCCCAGGGAGCTGCGGTGGGCTCCACCCAGTTCAAACTTCCTGGTAGCTTTGTTTACATTGTGAGGGTGAAATCACCTATTTAATCCTCAGCAATGGCAGATGGCCCTTCCCACACCAAGCTGACATCCCAGGCCGATCTCAGACTGCTGTGCTAGCAGCAATAACTTCAAGCCAGTGGATTTTAGCTTGCTGGGCTCTGTGTGGGTGGGACCTGCCAAGCCAGGCACCAGAGAGAATCTCCTGGTGTGCCGATTGTGAAGACCATGGGTAAAGCACAGTATCTGGGCTGGAATGCACCGTTTTTCCTGGTATAGTCTCTTGCAGCTTCCATTGGCTAGGAAAGGGAAATCCTCTGATCCCTTGCACTTCTAGAGTAAGGCAGCACCCCACTCTGTTTTGGCTCATTCTCCATGGGCTGCACCCACTATCCAACCAGTCCCAATGAGATGAACTGAGTAGCTCAGTTGGAAATGCAGGAATCACCCACCTTCTGTGTCAGTCTTGCTGGGAGCTGCAGACCGGAGCTGTTCCTATTCGGTCCTCTTTCCCAGATAGCTTCCATAGGATCTTAATTCTCCCAAACTTTCTTCTTTCCTCTCACTAACATATCTCCAAAGGCACTTCCCCTTTTCTACTTCTCTCTTTCCCAGAAGTAATGCCTTTCTAAAACTGCCATCTTAGGTCTGACACACTTTTAGGTCTTTTACCTTTAGACAGTACTGTGATCCACCAGATCTTAGATGCCTTTCATAGATTCTGCCTTTATTGTGGAGTTTTATCTTTCTATTGCTCTTTTTGTCAGAATTAGGCCCTTGAGTTCTCTGTTCTTTTTTCCATATAGTTTTTCAAACATCTCCAAGTCTGAATCATTTAAAACAGTTCTGTTGGCATCTGGTGTTTATTTCTTATTTTAAAATAAATTAAAGTTCATAATATTCTTTCTCCTAGTAAGGCTGAAAGTGTGGGTTGTATGTAGTTCTATTTGTTTTTCTTATTTATCTGTATGGTTTTGTGGGAGAGTAAGTGGAAAAACTCTAACTTAGGAGGTCACCATTATCCTACGGCAATTAGAAGTATCTTAAATCTTTTTATTTTTATTGTTATTACCGATTGTGATTTGTTTATATTTTATAAACATCATGAAAACACCCAAGAAAAAAAGCAAAGGGATAAGTTTGTAGACTTAGATTATCTTCCTTTTGAAGATAAATCAAGTAACTTTCTTAAAATGCATATGAGTAACAGATTCTGAAATTAAATTCTCTCATATCTAATAAATAATCTAAGGTAGAATTTGACATGATTCACTATAGCTTACAGTTTTGGGATAATTAGAAGTCCTTTCTTTCAATGTGGAAATACTCACTATGAGGGAAAAAAAAAGAGCCTTTAGAGAATTATAAAAAAGAAATAGGGCCTGGACAGTGGCACACACCTGTAATCCCAGTACTTTGGGAGGCCAGGGCAGGAAGATCTTTTGATCTCGGGAATTTGAGATTAGTCTGGGCAACATGGCAAAATCCTGTCTTTACAAAAAAATACAAAAATCAGCCAGGTGTGGTGGCATATGCCTGTGGTCTCAGCTACTTGGGAGGCTAAGGTAGGAGGATCACTTGTTCCTGGGAGGTTGAGGCTGTAGTGAGCTGAGACTGTACCACTGCACTCCAGCCTGGGTGACAGAGTGAGACTCTGTCTCAAAAAAAAAAAAAAAAAATAGAAAAGGAAAAAAAGAAACAATCTACTTTATTTGGTATTTTTTCTTTGTTATGATGATACAAGAACATGACAAAAGGCAGAAGTGATTTAACTACATTAAGCTCTGGTATAGCTGATTTACTCATCCATCTAGTACTTATTGAGGACCACTAAACTGCCAGACAATGGGGATGCAAAAAATGCTTAAGACACAGTCTTCTACCTCACAGACAAGTAGAACACATGTAAATCGCAAAAGGTTAGATGGCATCCTTTCCAAAAGGTTTAAAACTATGCAAAAGTATACTACGTATACTTTTAAGGCTATATACACACATACTATAAACATGAAAACATGAGAAAATGATAAGCATCAAATTTAGGATTTAGGTTAGCTCTTAGGGGATGGACTTTGAGGCTGAGGGGGATCCAATCAGGCAGGAATACAAAGGAGTTTCAATTTTACCTCTACTAATTTCCTTTAAAAAGAAAAATATCTGAAACAAATATTATAAACTGTTAGGATCTGACAAAGCTAGGTAGTAAGATATATGGGTATATGTTATATTATCTCTATTTTTTGTATGCTTAAAATATTTCCTAAGTTCTAAAATATTTTATTCAAAATGCAGTTCAATTCACCGGCAAGGTTTTTGGAGTTTCAACTAAGAAGCTTCAGAATATATACAAGTTATGTAATAACACAAAATTGAAAACTGCTTTTAGAAATGCATGAGAAAAATGGACCATTTGAATACTGTACATTTCTTTAGATATAGTGTTATACATACCTGTGAGTGCTAAATAAGAAGCAATGTACCGTTTTTCCAGACCGTCTCTAACACTCTGAATTGCACCAAACATTGGAGGTATAATCATGATCAGGTTACTCACTGTATTCCCTTTAAGAGAAAAACACAAGAAGATATTTAGGTTAATTAACAGCACTTTAAATAAAGATACATTCATGTAGCCTTTAACAATAATTAAACAAGTAACTTCTCAGAAAGACATTGGAAAGATATTTTCAAGGTGCTGAAAAAAAAATTCTGTACTCACCAAAAATGTCTTACAATAATCCAAATAAAATAAACATACTTTCAGACAAATGAAACTAAAAATTTTCCACCAGCAAACCCACTAAAGGAAATTCTAAGTTCTAATGACAAGCAGGAAAAGGATCTCAGGAAGAACCTTAGAGATACAGTAAAAAATGAGTTGGGGAAGGCAGCCTACACCGATGCACTGAAACTGTGGTCCATGCATGCAGTATGACAAAATGAATATATAATTGGCTTAATTTTGTCACTGGGATAAAAAAGCAACAAATTGCAGTTTACATTTTGTATGTATCTTTTAACATTTCATTTTTCTAGTAATGTTTTAATTTCTAGTTTCTGTTTCTAGTAAAACATAAGAGGCTTAGTCAATGGAACTTCATTTGATCTTTGCTCCTGTCTTCATAAAAACAAAGTGCAAACATGAATAGCAAATGAATAGCAAAAACCCCAGTAGAAGATATAAGTAGGTAAAATTGAGAAAGAAATGGCATTTTTTTTTGTTTATAAATTTGATTCTGAGTAGAATAAAGTGGCACAATATTTTCCAAATTTCAAAAGAACGATTTTCAGCAGAGATGCTAATATCAAGACAAATAATCAATTAACTGAGAGGTTGGAGGAAAACATTTTCAAACAGCCAAGGATTAAAATAATATACTTACAACATATATATTTTCTCTAGAATCAACTGGAGAATGTAATGACCTCAAACAAGGAAATTAACCATGAGAAAAGACACGAGTGCTAAGAAACATGGGCTGCAACACAGGAGAGAGGTAAAGAAAAGGCTCAAGACTGCAAAAGGACAAGAGACCACACTGTCCAAATTGCAGCAGAAGAACCAAGAACTGCAGGAAAGAAATTTCTGAGAAGAAAAAAGAAAAGGACAGACAATTTGATAGATTTAAAAATTTGTAAACAAACAAACAAAAAAATGCCAGTGGGCATTTGAGAGAAGTGTTGGAAAAGTTGTACTATAGCTCATTCAACCAGTCCTCTGTTACCATAAACATTCAGGTTATTTCCCGTTCTTACTCTCACATGCAATACTGCAATGAAGGTACAAGTGCAGGTACATCCGTAAAATAGATACACAAAAATGAGACTGCCAAGTCAAAAAATAAACACATCTATTGGCCCAAAAAGTAGTGAAAGGAAACATGGATGCATGATTCTTTTACAATGAATGAGAATGGGTATAATTTTATGTTCTTAAGGGCCATCTGTATTTCTTTTCTTATGAAATGTATTTCATGCCCTTTGCTACTTTTTCTATTGGTCTTTCCTTTTTCTATAAGAAGGAACCCTTCTTCTAAAAGGAATATTAATATTAGCCCTATGTATTTGCTGTGGACAAATTTTTGGAGATTTTTTTTAAATACAGAGTCTCCTTCTGTTGCCCAGGATGGAGTACAGTGACATGATCTCAGCTCAATGCAACCTCCGCCTTCTTGGTTCAAGATATTCTCCTGCCTCAGCCTCCCAAGTAGCTGGGAACATAGGTGCTGCATCATGCCCAGCTAATTTTTGTATTTTTAGTAGTCTGCATAGAAAGAAATATTACCATAGAGTACACTATTTGGCTTAGCAGTGCACATTATTTATATAGCCATATTGATATTATTGATGTTACAGCCTACTTATTTAATTTAAAAAAAACTATGCTCTGACTTTATTGAGAAAATATAGCAGAGAAAGCAGGGATGGTATAGAAAAGCAAAATCCCCAACCACCATAACTAGAAGACAACAGACAATATCTTAAATTTACAGATCCAGAAATAGCACTATAATATAGTTATTTAGAAATCTGGAGCCAAATTATTAAAAAAATAAATAGTTGGCCAGGGGCAATAGTTCACACTTGTAATCCTAGCACTTCAGAAGGCTAAGGTGGGAGGAGTGCTTGAGGCCAGGAGTTCTACAGCAGCCTGAGCAACATCGTGAGGTTCAATTCTACATACATACATACATACATACATACATAAAAACAAAGTTATTGTCAGACTTCTGTTTCCACACAAGATGAAGAAACAAGAACCAGATTTATCCTCTTACCTGAAATAAGGAGAAGAGAGGCAAAGAGGGAAGGGGAGGGGAGGGGAGACAAAATATATGAAACAACTATTTTCAAGACAATAGACATCAGGCAACAATTCCCAAGAAACCAAGAAACAAATGGAGGCCCCTAAAATTGCCCCTAACGTACTGCCTGGAGTACTCAAGCCACAGAATAAGGAGGGAGTACCCAGGGGGAGCTTGGCAGGCTCCCTGATGAGGAAACAAAGTGGAGACTTCAGGAAAACCAAGGTGACTAGATTTCATGGGCTACAGTATATGAGAGACAACTTCAGAGAGAAAGCACTCAGGAAATCTATAAAGGGTCCCCTAACTATTCAGCAGAAGATTGGTCAACAGATATATATGAGCAAACTACCTAAAGCCAGGAAAGAACCATAGTGAAAATATTAGAGGGAACAGTACCAGGTGCTCACACATAGCCAGAAACACTGCCTATTCCTACAAGCTGAAATAGTAAAATTTGTATCTTGCTGGACATTGAATAAAACAATCAAGAAGGCCTGACCTCAGTAATAGGGAATAGCTAGTACTAGACTGAACCCTGTTCCTGACGTACCTAACAAATCACAAAAGCAGAATCCAAAAGGATCAAACTGTTTCCAAGTAGCTTCATGAAATCCAGAACAAAATTCAAGACTATTTATAGTAATAAAAAATTATTCAGCACCTAGCAAAGCACATTGCCTCATATCCAATCAAAGATTACCAGGCTTACAAAAAAGCAGGAAACAGGGTCCATGAGGAAAATAATCAGTTGAAATCAACACAGAACAGATGTTGGAATTAGCAGACCAAGACTAAAACAGTTCATATAAAAGGCTAGAAAATGCAAACTAATCTATAGTGACAGAAAGCAGATCGGCGGTTGCTGGGGGAGAAATGGTGGGACAGTTTAATGGAGGAGGGCTCACAAAGAATAAAATAAAACTTGGAGGTGAAGGATATGTTCTATCTTGCTTGTGATGGTTTCAGAGGTATAAACCAAATGTCAAAATTTAATGTGTACACTTTAAATACGGTGCAGTTTTGTATACCAATTACCTCAATCAAGCTGGGTTTTTTTGGGTTGTTGTTAATTTTGCTTCTGGGACTAGAAATGGACACTGGGAAGGAAAGAAGGGTTGGGGAAGAGCACTGTCTTCTGGTTTTGTTAAAGTTATTTAGCATTATCTAGATTTTTATCTATTTGTTAATGTATTGCTTTGATAAAATAAAAATTAATACAGAAACCATTTAGGAAAGGGAGTAAGATCATTGGGAATAGTTTCATAGACATAAGATTTGAGCTAGACTCTGAAAGGAGAGAAAAAAAAGAAAAACCTGCTGAGGCTATTAAGTACCAGGTACTGAACTTCATATTTTACATGTGCTATCCTACTTGCTTCTCACAACCAATCTTGTGAAGTATTATTGTCCCTATTAAAAATAAACAGTAACAGTATACAATTCCAAGTTCTCACAATAAGCAAAAGGTGGAGGCAAGATTTTATTCCAGGTCTATCTGTCCTTATAACCAATGTTACTCTCACTAGATGTACTAGCACACTGTTCACACAGAGGGTGCTTATTAATTGTAATGTTTTAAAAATTATATCAAAGAGTATTTTACTCAGAATGTACTAAATGAATTCCAAACTGTACAAAGAATAAAGTGATTTGCCCAGGTGGAGTATGAAAATGTAAGGTGGGGAGCCAGACAGATTATATATATATATATATATATATACACACACACAAACAGCAGTTATATATACAAACAGCAGTTATCAATAGCTTTAAGTAAACCTGTAGGGGATGTTGAATATTTTGCCATTCAGGAGTGCCCTAAGATTCAAACTAATGAAAATCTTTACTGATGACTAAGATCAAGCAATGGAAGCATGCCCAAATATACAGATAATATTAAATTTAGCTGAAATGTCAACTGCAAACCACAAATACAGTATTGTTAGAAAGAGTAAGGACAACCCTCAGAGAAAGTTCCAAAGACAGAGAGATGACAGTAGGCTATTCTGGGAGGAAAATCTCAATATACTACACCTCAAAGTAGTACTTAGAGGTAAAAATGGAAAGAGCTAGATAGTGGTCATCCTACTTTTATCTTCTTTAATTCAGCTTCTCCTATAATTTGCGGCACCCTAAACAAAACAAACATTAAAGCAGAGTAGAGACTAATTTAAAGGCATAGTTTACTAGATAAATAAAACACAACATATAAGGAATGGAATGACTGCTATCTTCAAATATCTGAAGGATTTTTAAGCTAAAGGTTAATGAGGCTGGTTATGACTCTAAAATATAAGAATTAAAATCAGTTAAGGTACAGAGAAGCAGATTTCTACTCATTATAGAGCAAAACATTCTAAAATTAAAGCTGTCAAAAAATGGAAGGCTGGATGTAGTGACTCACACCTGTAACCCTGGTACTTTAGGAGGCCAAGGCAGGAGGATCTCTTGATTCCAAGAGTTCAAAACCAGCCTGGGCAACATAACAAGACCATGTCTAAAAAAAAACAAAAAACAAAAAACAAACAAGTAAACTACTTTATTAGACTATCAGCTATAACTATGAGGAATCATTTCTTATTCATCCTTTTATCCCTATCATTTGGCACATTACTAAGGACAAAGCAGGTACTCAGTAAAGTCTGGTAAAAATAATATATACTCATGCATGTATGCTTGCTTACACCTCTCAGGTAGAAGTTTCTCTTTTATCCTCTGGTTTTACTCAAAAAATTATGTGCTTCTTACTTTTTA